CATCTCTATTTTAAATTCTGCATGATTTTTAAAGGTTTTCTGAATTATTTTCCAGAATTTCAAATTTTATAGAAACTCTTTAATCTTCTCAGTACGTAATCCTTTTTTTAAAATTCCAAGAACAACCCAATTCCATCAAATTTATTCCAATCTCTTCGGAGATCTCGTTCAAATCCCATAAAACCTAAAAAATGCGGAAAATTCTCTTCTCAAAAAACAATTCAATCTCACAAATCATTTTATTACACCATTAAAAATTTATAATATAAGAAGCACTCAAATACGGGAAATTATCAAACATAACCATATAAAAAAATAAGCAAATTTCATCTTGTGTAGGTTTTCATAAACATACGGCAGTTGAGTAATTCTTGTTTCAAATAGCAAAAAAAAGAGCATAAAGAAGAAAAATACGCTGAACATGTCAAATAGAGTTTGTTGAACTTTTGATGATAGATAAATGGTTGATTTAAATCTTTCAAGTCATTTTGGCGAACTGTCAGGTAAATAAACAGTGTCAACCATGAGGAAATTTAATTTAAATTGAGTTCGAACAATTTCAGTAATTAAATTATCAGCTTTGAATTTGTTTTGAATTTAAATGAATTTTAAAACTACAAAATTAGAATTTTGAACTTTAAATGAATTTTAAAACTACAAAATTTAGAATTTTAAAATATTCTATCGCACCAGTGGCTGCTCAAGTTAAACAAATTTGTTCTTTTCAGCACCTTTCATTACATTTTCAAAAGTTTACACAAAAAGGTGTTTTCTGCCCGAAAGAACTTTGTCTACAGACTGTAAATGTGAAGCTATTGCTCTTAAACCAGCATGGTACGAGTCATAAGATCAAGTTTTATGTAATTTTCATCATCAAATTTTGCATATTAAATTTCCAACAAGAACAAGAATTTTGGTATGACAATTTTTCATCCAAGATTATCTTTATGATATGAGGGGTTGTCCATTAGTGATGTCTGTTGAAATATTGATTTTTTGACCCTCTCCAGCAGTCACAAGACCAATGGTGCATAATTAATCAAGATTTGGTGACCCAACCCCACAAAAAAATTAGTCATCGTAGTCACACGCCCCCCAAAAATCCTAATCTCATAAATCAAACTTAAACTTTGTTTTTTATCTCATTGATCTTTCATCAACATGATGAACACTTGATCCCGGATTAAATTATCAATTCAAATTTTGTATGCACATCTTCTCATTCATATTACATTACTTAATATATATTGACTTGTTTGGCACCCACTCAATCTCATGTCAGCCAAATAAGCGCCCAGAAAACAAGAAGAAAGATGAAGAAACAACAAATAATATTTATTAGACTGCACAAAAAATTGAAATGAAAGAATGAAGAATGAAGAAATAAAATAAAGTGGGTAAAAAAAAAGTTGGATGCCTTATTTGGGGACTTTAAAGCGCTTATATTTATGGCTAATTGATTGTTTTGAGGATTGTAATGTGATGATTTGAATAAAAACAAAGCAATCTACAAGAATTATTGATGTAAAATAGTGTTTGACAGTTAATAGTGATTTGAATTTTCAATACTACTTTAATTTAATTAACGGACTTTTTGATTTTAAATTCTCAAGTTGAGAAAAAAATGGCGAATTTTTCTCACTTCAAAAAGTATTTTTCAATTTTTATGTTCAAATGATCGATATTTAATTAAATTTAAAACTCATTGATCTATAAAACATGGCAAAAACTCAATAAAATCAATTTCTCTAATTTTCAATTGCAATAAAATCAAAAATTAACTTATTCAGTCACGAAAAAGTAAACAATAGACCACACTTTAACAATAAAATTGTGCTAAAATCACTTCATGTTGATCACTTGATCTTGAACCTTAAAAAATATTCGCATATAGTCTCTCGATGATTGAAAGCATTATGAAAAGAATCGTTTTCAATTTATGAGAAAATTTAATTAAATTAATAATGAATGCATTTGATTGATTTCATTTGAATAATTTGAATTTTTTGTGTGATAGAAATTGAAGTCTGTTTTTTGAGGTCATGGGAAGAATTTCTCGTGTGCAAAAAAAGTACTTTTTCTTCAATTTTGTTGATGCCCCAATATTAGGGCGTTCCAATCATTTTGGAAATCATAAAATTTTATTTCATGGCTATTTTCATTATAACACTTTTCTGTGTACTTGTATCCTTAGGACATAATACACTTTCATTGATTGTTATCTCTCCATTTTCAATGATTGCCTCTTTTACAGCTTTAATGAGCAAATTGAGTTAACGATAAATATTTTCAGAATTTATTGTCTGACTTGTTTTCGTGCAAAAATAAGTTTCTGCGGTTGTAATGTGAGAGACGTAAAGATTTAAGTTATGTAATATTCATGGTTTTCTCGGAAATTTTTGATAGATGATACAGAGTAATGTATTAATCTTGACAAGATCGCTTATAGTTTTCGATTAATCTTACATTCTGAAGTGTTTTGGTTTGATTTGTTTGGTTGGAAACTTGATTTTTGAGAAGATATGATCAAACGAATCTACCCGGCTAGTTAAGTGGAGCTTAGCTAGATAAACTAAATAGAGTATACTAAATTGAGTATAATCCAAAACTAGTAAACAATGCTGGTTCTAGTGTGCCCCTATTTCCCATTATTCAATTCATCACTAATTCAAAAACTTCATCACCTCCTCCATAATTCACTCTACCTCATGACCTTGTGACCGAATATTTCTTCGCTCTTCAATAGATTTTCTTATTTTCTCATTCTAAATTCAATTTCAATAGCTTTTTATCTCCGTGCTCCTCCTTCTCCCTTATTCAATTATTCAGTATAAAAGTTCACTTTGTATCTGTTGTCGATTAGTCTTATAGGCATTAATTCTTTTATATTATTATTATTTATTTGAATGAAAAGGCAATAAATTCAACGATTGCGGAACTACAATAAAGAAAAAAAAAATCTCCTAAAGTGTTTCTAAATAGCAACTTTTATCGTGATGATAAATATCATTAGCTTTCAATTAAACTATTAAGTACTTATTGAAATGAAAAATTTAAATGATATTTACTGAATTGTAGCACATTGAGCATTCATAATATTCCATTATACGTTACAAGAATGTTCAATTAAATGATTCATGAATCAAATTTATATAACATGAATATGATTATCGATTAATAATTTGTAAACATTTCCACGCTCACGCATCTATACGTGATTATATGCTTCTCATTTAAAAAATATGTTAAAGCAGCTCAAAGATGATGAAGAAAAGTGAGGAGTTGGATTACGACAATCAGTATGAAGTTTAAAATAAGTGAACGACAATTAGAGTTGGAAGAGAACCAAAAATATTAGCTGCTAAAGTAGCTTCAAGCTTTAATGAAAATTTAACATAAATGTGTCAATAAAAAGTGCCATCAGATAAAATATTGGACGTTGTTAAACTTCCAAGTCTCTAAACTTAAACAAAAAATGACCCAAAAGTTTTTATCACAGTTAAATCCCATCTTCTTCATATTTTGTTTTCATTCTTATTTTGAATATGTTCAGATTCCTTTTTTGGGTAACTTTTTCATCAGTCCTTTTGCCTGTCACAATAAAAATCTCATTTAAGATGTTAAGAAATTATCTTATAGCTCTTTTGAATGGAATTTTGATAAGGAAATTGATACTTTTGGCATAGATTCCGATGAATTGTTCATTTGATTACAGATATGAGTATTTTTGAGGATGAATAGATGCTATGTTAGGTTTATAGCATTAAATATTGTCTAATAATTAAATTAAAGTTTATTTTGTTGATGTTTACTGTTCTGAATGTAAGCAATTAAGAGGGGTGTGTAACTTTTTATTGATGAGAAAATTCAAATCTTATTTAACTGTTATATCTTCAAATATTCCAGTTTACAAATAGTTAAAGCTGTCTTCATGTTGTACTGCTTAAATATCCTTGAGCACAAGAATTATCATCAAATATCTTCAGTCATCTTCAATCCACCAACCCTGCCTAATGTCTAACTCAATGTTATTCAACCGTTCGCATAAAAATTACAAACACGCAATATCAAAAGCCAAGAAAATCTCCCTTTTGTGTCGGAGTAAGAGAAAAAAAAATTATTCGTCAGTCTCACATATTTTTTTCGCAGATGTAAATAAATGTTGTGTGATTCATAAACGGCGAGTCAATGACACTTTATGCCAATAGCTATTCGGTCAATCTATTCAAACATTGAAATTAATCTTGGATTTTCCAGTCATTGGGTTAAAATATGCATGAGATGAGGTTTCAAGGAATAAGTTAAATGCTTTGTTGAGCAAATAGGTGAAATGAGCAGGATGCATGAGAAATATTTTTGAAGTTATTTGGCTGCAATGTTGTTTGATTAGAGGACGGATTTGATTGATTAAGTTTTAGCATGTTTAAATGGTTGATTCATCAATAATTATCGCGTGTGGATTAATTTTAGTCATGAATTAAAGCTGTTTGTTTTTTTGAGTGCTAGTTTACAAAATATAACCTCAAAATAAGAAAGAGCTACAAATGATGCAAGAGGTTCCAATTAAGGACCAAATACAAGCACAAATATCAAATAATTCGAAAGATTTCACGCAATTCAAATAAATTACATGTCAATATTCAAAAATAACCAAATAAACACCTTCCAACTGACAACCTCCTGCTATTATATGTCATTCGGGCACCATACCGAGAAATGTCATGCCAAATTACGATATTGCAAAACTTTTATTATTATTATTTGAAGATTTTAAGTAAGCTTACTCTTTTTGGTCTTCAATTGTCTCACTTCCTTCGCAGCAATGTTTGTGTATAAAAAGTGAATGTCACATAATTGAGTGACAATAAGAAGAATATAATTTAATTTATTGCTTAATTTATCATAAAATAATTACTTAATTTGGCATTAAACTTTATTAATTTTTTTTTCTCTTTTATTTCATTTTCAGTCAATTTCTTGCTCGTTTCCTCCCCGAATTGCTCTTTTTCATATCCACAAAAAAATACAAACACTCTCTTTACGTCCTCCGACGTACATTGTTAGCCAGTAGCAGAAAGAAATTTCATCTCACAATTTATTATACACAGAGTCAAGATCAAAATGAGTCATAAGAAGCTGTTACTTACGATATTCGCAATATCATTTTCCTTTTTAATGCTGGCAGATGAGACGCTCGCCTGCTCGTGTATGCCATCTCATCCGCAAACAAGTTATTGCAATGCAGAATATGGTGAGTTGATTAAAAGGATACCATAGATGTGAAAATTATTAATTGCTGTTCCTATATTTCACAGTGATTGTTGCTAGAATTCTCCGAAGATCCAATCGTAAAATTAACAATCATCATGTCTATAAAATTGATATTGTAAAATCATATAAGGCATCTGAGAAAGCACAGCAATATCTAAAACAGTCGAGATTAATTACAGCTCCAAATGATGGACTTTGCGGAATTAATTTCAGTAAGTTTTAATCTCATTTCTATTTCTGTTTACTTTTTAATTTCATTTCTCGTCTATTTATAGAAATCGGACAACTTTATGCCATCGCTGGTAACTCACAGAAAATTGGATTATGTCAATATGTCAAAGAATATTCGAAAATGACACAAGTTGAGAAGCGTGGCATAGCTGGAGCATACAAAAAAGGTTGTGGATGCGAGGTAATTTGACATTATTGTTATTACTATCCTAACACAGGATACTTATCAAATTATGAAACTGAGATAAATTTTCTGCGAAGGGAAAATAACATGATTTATTGTGTCTAAAGTGTGGGTTGTAAGGGACGGTCTACGCAATTTCTCATTGAATAAGATACTTTGTTGTTTGATTAAGATGATTTGTTGGTTGAGTCAGTGAGTAAATGAAGAAAATTGAAGGTTTATGGGGTTTCTGTTGAAGTATTACTCAAGAAACTTTATCTACTGTGATGTTGCTATTCTTTTTGTGTGGGATGCAATGTTATTTATTAGATTGTTTTGCTCTAGCTTTAATTAAACTCAAAAAACTTCTTGAAGTGAGAAAAACAACAAATTATTGGAGTTGGGATATTTTTTTGAATTTTTCAAATCCGTTGAAAATTTCGAATTTTTCAAAATCTTTTGTTATTAATTTACCAAATTTCATTAAATTTTTTTTTAAAAAAACATTTCTAAAGGTAAATCCCACTCATGACATTTCCGTTCTTCCATCAAAATCTCAAACAAATGATGTCATTTTCACAGATTCATTAAACTTGTAATTTCCTTCCTTCACAAACAGACTCCTAAAAGTCATTGAATTGCCAACACAAACGCTTCAATTTTACACGTTTCGCTGACATTCACACTGATTCCTTTGATAAATAATAAAAAAAGTTGGAATCACTTAACAACCCAACCTATCAGAAAGGAAATTTATTTAAGATTTAACATCCGAATGAATTTCCTCAAAGTTTGTAATTCAAAAAGGGAATTGAATGACGTTTAGTAACTTTAATGGGAGGATGTCTATTAAAACTTTACGTGATAGCGATACATAATAAAAAAATGGCACGTAATGGGTTTATAAGTTGGACATCAGAGTCCTTTTGAATTATTTGAGACTTGTTTAAGTTTAATGGCAAAGAACGGAGATTATATGCAATTTCCGAGTCTACTTAGCGAATATTTCCGAAACGTTTTAAGCTAATCCATTCCTAATCTATATTCTCATCCATATCTAGATCAACTTGTGCGTGAACAACATGAATTGTCAAACAGCACCCAGAAGTTGTGATTGGTCACTGTTTAACGAGTGTGAAACTGACTACGGCATCTGCGTGCCAATCAAGAGTTCAAAGATTCAATCAAAACAAACAAAATGTCAATGGAGACGCAGCCCTTTATACCAATCATGTCTTCTTGATCCATAAATGACTTGCGAACTACAAAAACCATTGAGGACTATGTTACATAACACGAAGATGATAAAATTATAAAAAAAGAAAGGTTTTTTATATATAAAAAAAAATAAATTTAACATTAAAGCTATGTATGTACATTAACGAACACATTTGGAACTTTAAGATAAGTTTCATTAAATTTAACGAAGTTTTTTTTTTACTTTTTTGATTTCAACTCTCAAAAACCTATTTATTTGCTATTATTATTACTGTTATGATTATTATACTGTGGTATTTTCTTGAAAAAACATACAAAAAATATTTTATTTTTAAAGGAAATTTTATGTTTTATTTTACTCAAAACAAAAAATTGTGAAAAAAAATCGTTGTTCCATCAAGATTCAGAGTTGTTTGAGTGATGAGGGATTAGGTCAGGATTTGGTGTGGAATGAACTTCAAGATCATCTTGATTCGATCTTCTGAAGATCTTGTAAAAGGTTTATAACAAGTTGATTTAGACCCTAATATCAAATATCCTTCTAATGTAAGCTAAGACCTCCCAAACCATTAACTACAGAGTCAGAAACCAGAAAAGATACATCAAAAACGTTAAAACCACCACAAAAGAAATCAAAACCACAAAGAAAAAACTTTCCATCCGCAACTCTGTCAGAAACAAAAATTCTTCCGCATTCAAACGAAAAATCATTTGAATGCACTCAAGCAAATAAGAGAAAACTTGATGGGAAGATAAGGATTCACAATTGAATGAAAAGAAATGCTAAATTGAAATTGAATTTGAAATGAAATGCTCGCTAGAAAGGAGAACAAAAAATATATGAATATTGAGCATGATGAAAAATTATTATTAAGGAGATAGTTTCAGATAGAAATATAATAAATTAAGTCATACATATTTATTTGTATGTGCTTTTAAAAGTGCATTGATTTGATAAGGAAAGGAATTTTTTGTGAGCAGTCATTGAAGTGATGTTGAGTGGAAGGGAATGCTTTAATGTTGAAGCTAAAGAGAATTTTTGTTGAATTTTGTAGAGTTTAAATTGAACAGAAGTTTTTTGGTTTTCTGGGTGGTTCTGGATGATCAATTTCTAGAAAATTGCATGTTGAGTTATGAGCAATCATCAGCTCCCAAACCCTAGTTATACAAATTTGACAAGGTCAGCCTCTTAAAATCTATGAGTATCTTTAGTGTCACTTTTGAAGATAGCCTTAACGATGAGCTCTTCATTTTTCGCTAGTTTTGACTTTAAATGTGTTTACTAGGTTTTGGCCCTGTTGTAGGCTATGGATGGCCTTAAATAAGAATGAGACTAGCATAGGTTCTAGACTTGGTATCTCTTAAAGAGTCAAAATTAAGTCTAGACTGAGGTTTCATTAGCTGTTGACCACATAGCAAGACTAGTCCCTATTTTCCTTTTCGTTATTCAGAAAACATCCCAGATAGCTCGCTTCACAAAAATACACAATCATTAAGCTTCCATAGCACAAAACATCCACAATAACCTTTAGCATATCCAGCAAAAAATAATATTCCTTTCTTCATCAAAAAGATCAAACATTCATTTGATGTAATTTAATATTGGATATAAAAAAAAAATTATTAAAAATATTCTCGCATAACCAAAACAAAGAATCAGCTTAAAAAAATTTGTAAATATTGGTAAATAGAACCTAAATCAGCAACAGCATAAATGTCTTGTTTTTCACAACAAAAAAAATCTTAATTTAATTAATTAATTGCTACCTTATGATAAAAAATAAAAAAAAAAACTTTATGATTAATAATTTTTTAATGAGAATTTATGGAGGAAATTAGTTAAGTTAAGAAATATCCACATGTGAAATAATTTAAATTATTTATGATTCAAAGGCGTGGCAGACACCCGCGGTAGATTAATCGCAAGATTTAAATTTCCATCTCTTTAAAAATAATTTGCAGCGGCCCAAAAAAAAGATTCATGAATTTTTAATAGATTTTATGAATTTTTTGATAAATTGAAATTTTAAATTCTTCACTGAGTTTGCACACCTTTCCTTGACATTTCTAATCTTTCTGCCTGAAAAAATCATTAATTTAGCACAAAAAAAGGTTCATGTGAATTCCCAGATGACATTTAAGTTCTCGGAAGTGGCACTTGATATTTAAGTTCTAATTTTAGGTGACAAAGCCTTTTACTGTTGATTAAAAGCTCATGGTTCACTGTCATGTGAATGTCCTCAAGTTGCTCTACTTCCGAGTCATTCATGAAGATTATTAATGATTTTTGGCTGAAACAGATTAGTCGTGGTTCATATAAGACCAATTAGGTTGTCATTCGGAAGATTATTTTTTGATTGAAAATTATCTTGAGTAATTTTTTGGATCATTTAAGGATTCAATGGATGATTTCATTAGGAATTAGGTGAATGATAAATGGTTTGAGTGATATTAAGTAGGTAATTAGCTTTTGGGGGAAGTTTTGAGAGATTCTTAAGAACATTTTGTCAGTACGAAAGATGAGAAATTTATTGCCTAATGGTTGGAACTTAGTGATTAACGGAGATCTCGAGTTCGATTCCTAAGATAAGATTTCTTTCATTTGTCTACCTCAAATGAGTCATAGTTAGAAATTCTTCAAGGGGAAAAGAACATTGAGTTTACAAATGGCTTTAAATGTTCATGAAGTTTCCTATTCCGGAGTCAAAATGTTTTTTTTTTACCAAATTCCCATATCTAGGGATGTCCAAGGAGGGTTCAAACCTATTTTTACAGCTAAAGTTTAAACCTTAAAGCTTTGTATAATCTTCATGACTAAAATCTATCAATGTAGACTAGATAGTCTTAAGCATTACCCATAAACCTATCCAAAAGTCAAACAATTAGCAAATCCACAAAAAAATATTCAGAAAAGCTTAATTGTTAACTAACCTTAAATTTAATTTCGACCATAATTTTCACCAAACCTCAAATTTATCAACCAGAACAAACTCAAAGTAAACCACAATTCTCTCAAAAATCCAACCTTAATTAATTTCAACCTCCACAATTTTATCTTACAAAAGAGGAGAAAAAAATAAAATTTCAATAAAGGAAATTAAAAAGGTAAACTTTAGTCTGTCACGTTGAAAGCATTTCCATCAAGTCTTTGAGAAATATTTTTCATAAAATTCACCTTTAAGGCTTCAAGAAAATTTTCATTATAATTTTTTATCGATATAAAAAAAAAAATACGAAAGATGTAAGAAGAACACTGAAGAGAGTAAAATAAAAAAATTTTCTTTTATGCTTTTTGTATTATATAGTACAAATTTTTATAGAAGCTAAGAAACCTAATATGGATGAGAGAAAAAAAATTGCTTATTGGAATTTTTTTAAAAAAAAGTTCTTATTTTTTTAGTCTTAATTTTGTCTTATCAGAAAAAAATTGATTTTTCATACGTGAATAAATTTTTATTATTAATATTATTATTGCCTGATCAGCACACAGAAGCAGTGGGAGTCAGATGGTTGCTATTTGACTTGCTTGAGTAGAAATGACCAATTAATTCCCGAGTGGATACTTGACAACTATGTCTAGTCAATAACTAGATGTATGGTAGACTAATGGCACTATGGTCACTAGTGGACCATACAACCAGCTATTTTCTAGACATTAGAATCAAGTGTCTATTCGGGATTGCTGAGATGTCACTCTATAAATAAGACTGTCAATCTAAATAGTCGATATTTCGTACAACCTACTTTGTAGTTGCCATTAAGGGGACAATTGGATGGCAAAGGAGATTTAATGGCACCTAAACCAAAGCAACATTCTGGTTGAAATCAAATTATGGCCATGTGAACAAACTAGTCGCAACTAGACTCTACATATAAAATAACACCCTCCGAGTACCATAAAGCTTCCATTCTAATGAACCCTCATGTGCTGTTCTGATCACTATTTCTCCTTTTGTAAAGTATATCATAAATAAAGTATCGTTGAATTTTTAGTGCCGTAAGGAATACACTTGATGATGCAAATTGTTTGTATAAAAAAATTATATGGAATAATAATAAAGAATATGTTATTGCTATAGCAACGAGAACACACGAAGAAAAAGGTTTTAAAACATATTTTTTTTTTCGACTCACCATTTCAGTTGGATTTGGGAAGAAGTGCTGCTCGATTAACGGAAATTGATCCTTTCCTAAACGACGTTGTAATTGCAAAAGCGCAGCAAAAACATTCGGTCGATCCTAAAGAAATGAAAGGAAAAAGAAAATGTAAATAATTTTTATGTAACACAATTTCTACCTTATCAATTTATCATGTCACGTTTCAGCAACGCGTGTCAAATCAACAACAAAGAAAAGAAAAAATTGTTCGTCTTATGCAAGAATGGCAGTGGAGCGAGCTGAGCTAATATTCTTTTTTAATGAAAATGTTCTACTATTTTCATTCACTTGAGTAATTTCATGATGATAGCTTTATTAAGCTTTGAAGTTGTCATCATTAAGACGTCGAGTAAATTAAAGACCTTTCAGATGATTTTGTGAACGAGAAATTTGTTGAGTGTCTTGAAATGTTTAAATTGATGTTTATTAAATGGAGTCTTCTTCCTTAGTCAAGGAAAAATTATATAATTCGAGAGGATAAATAATAAATTGATCTTGAAGGCAGTTGCTCATTGCACGCTCCTCTTACCTCTGGAACTGCAACCCCAATTACCCTGATAGCACAAGTCAGGTTATCGATCAGAAGTCTGAAGTCAAGCCGGGCTTCTGGCATAGAGTTGGATTTAAAACAGGTCCACGCCAGAGTCACGAAAGCTTGGGATCGGATTTTTGATCAATTAACCGACTTGTACTTTCCGGGTTTCTACATTGAAACCAAAACTAGTGAACCGTAAATTAAAATTCCTCAATCTTCAACCTAAAGGTTCATTTCTATTCCAGCTTCTCAAATTCTCTCCCAAATAATGAAATTCTTGTAATACAGCTATCACCTGATTATCATCCAAGACTCTGTAATGACACCTAACACCACACTCGTGTCTCTTACCACAAAATAATTATTCAACGATTGCCAAAGCTGCCCGAAAAAAAAAACTTACGTAAAAGTTTCACATCAAACAAAATAAAAATCCAATAATTCACATTTTAATTAACCTAATTGAATCATTGTTTCTATATCACCGTAATATTCCACTAAACATTAAAATCATAGCATCGTGGGTTTTGTTGTGTAATATCGAATATGACTTCATATTATAATGCACAATTAATTAAAATTAATGTTTATAAATTTTTCAACATTTCATATGCATCTATTCAGTTGCAATTGAATCATGCATTATGTACAATAAACATCATAAAGTCTCACGTTACATGAATGTAAACATTCTCTATCGTCGTACATACACTTGATCTTTTATTCATATGAAGACAAATTATGAGCATATTTTACATCCACAAGTGCAAAAAGGCGCTTGAATTTTGTCTGACGGAAAGCGATGTAAATTTGAAAATTGAAAGCATAAATTTATGCTTTTACCTCAGATGCTGTCTTTGTTTGTGAATGAATATATTCATGTGAAAAATAAGGTGTTAAGTAAATACATTTTGAGTTATTAGCTTTTGAATAATTTCCTAGAAGTTACACTATTATATGTGCAGAGAAGAAATTGATATTCAAATATTGTCAAAGTGTAGCTAAAAGGGAAGCAGAGTGAAAATTTAAAAATCTTCATTTAATTAAGGTTTCTTTTGAATTGAATAAAGACAGGTATTTTTGAGTTTTTTGAAGCTATTCGGATTATAGGTATTTAAGAATTTAGATTTACAAACCCTTCATAATCTTTTCTAGAATGTTGATAAGCAAACATACTCAATCGAAACTGGAAAGTAGCAGTCAGCTATAATTGGTTAACAAAGTACACAATATAGAGGCAAAGCCAGAGGATTTGATTCAATCCCACTTATTCAAAATACTAGGTTTCGAACCTTAGTCTGATCAATAATAATACATATCTGTTTGAAACTGTCTTTATGACTTAAGTTTACTGGTGACTGAATGGTAGATATTCTCGATTAGAAATCGGTTGTTGAACTATGTTGATGGCAAAGGTTCGATTCCTATCTTGCAAGAAATTGTTTTATTCTCATATTCTACATAAATGTCCCAGAACCAGCAACCTAGTTTTCAATTTAATCATATGTAGTGCATATAAGGAAGATTTAGATTTAATATAGCTATGGATGATAAAGTGAGTGTTTCAAATTCATATCCCATTAAAATGTTCAAAACAGATTCCCAATTCCCAATTTACATCACCAAAATTTTTCAATTTAAATACATTCAACGCCTACAAATCCCATTTCAAATTATGCACAATAATAATAAGCGTCCTCTCCATAATAGACTTCATAAAACCACATTTCAACTCCACTAATATTCTCGATTCAAGATTAAGCTCAACAAATCCGAGATTAAACTGCCAATATTTATTACATTTACCGATAGAAATAAATATCATTGTAAACTTTTCAAATTTATTTCTATAATATATTAATACATAACAAGCACGTCATGTCAATTTCATGTCAACGCAAAAAAGCGGCAAAAGCAAAAATAGCAAAAAAAATTTGTTTTAATAAGACTAGAATGCAGTGACACATTAAATGCGATGAAAATAGATTGTAAGGTAGAAAGGAAAGGAAGGCAAAGAGAAGTAAAATAAATGCATGTATGGCACCACAATTTCGTTGTTATATAATGTAATTTGTTATAACTAAATTAGTAGAGCTGTACATAGTTGCTGATAAAAGGTAGGCAGGCATAGCATATTGTTGTACCATAAATATGCTATCGCATATCATGTGTGCATTAATTTCAATTAAAAGCATAGCATAGCATAATAAAAAAGCGTAGTGAAACAAAAGCACAATGTTACTATGAAGCATAAAAGCTTTCAACACCTAGGCTACCCTGCAAAAGCCAAATTTCATTTCATTATTACTCTTGGACAATTACATGGTTGCTTTGGTGATGAAACTTTGTGTGTGTTATATTTTTTATTGCAATGCATAAAAGCTTATATATATAATCCTCAGATTTTACCACACAAACACAATTTTTTTCAAACTTTTTTTATATAGCAAAAGAAGCACTGCCAAAGCTTAGTAATGTAAAAATGAGTATAATCAACTAACCTGGAACTGGTAGATTGAGTTTAGGGAGTTAATTGACGGTACACCGCCATATTTCAAGCCCAACAATGTTGAACGATAATCCTTTGCTCCATCACGCGGTGGTTGTCTTATCAACACAAAATCTGGCCTAAATGATCTTGATGCCTGTGTAAATGAGAAAATAAAGGATTTTTTATGGTTAGAAATTTCATCTTAAATAAATTTATATTTAAACCGTGAAAAAAATGGAATTAAAAAGGTTAAAAACTTTCGCATCACTAATGTGTTTAGAAAAAAAATTGACGCAAAAAATTCCGCATCACAAGAGCGTTTAGAAAAAAATTGACGCAAAAAGTTCCGCATCACATGTGAGTTTAGCAAAATAGAATCAGCATTTTGCCTTTTCCACAAAAAAAAACTTACCTTCGATCCACTTCGATAGCTCACAATCGACACAGTAGGTCCACCATCACCACTAGCCGTAACCGAAATTTCATTGAATTCCGCTTGCTCGACACGAATATCATAGTCACCATGTAAACGCTTACCACGGAAATACTTCGACCAATCAGTATTCTGATCGTCAACGACAAGCAATGTAAAGCAACGATCTTTATTGAATGCTTGAACACGCGAAACCGTAGATGCAGCAGCACCGATAATGCTTGCACCTTGATCACGAGCTGCTCCCGTTAAACTTTGAACACGTTGTAACAAACTTTCACGCGATTTTGCTGGGCTTGATGGCGCTGAAGTGTGTTTTGGTCCTTTACCAAAACTCAATGATAATTCCGGTGCTGTTGATGTTGGCCCTGCTGATCCAGGCACAGCTTTAAAATGATGATAAATTGATTTGTAATAATTTTTGGAACAACAAAATTTATTGAATAATTAATGAGGTATAAAATACATAATGGCAATGTAATTCGATGCCTACATTATTAATTATGTGGTTTTAGGATGTTTAAAATTGACATAAATTGATCGAGATTGGTTTTGATTGATTATGTGGTTTTAACTGGTTTTAAAATTTAACGGTTGAAATGATTTTGAATTTTTGGATTAATAAGTTATATTCCCCTCTTTAATGTTTTGATATAGGTTTTGTTCAATATTTAAAACTGTGAATATTGCTAAAATCTACTTTAACTTAATTATTAGACATAATCTTAATCTTTATTGTTGGTCAGACTAGTCAATCAAAATGGTAAGCAATAAGGTAAGTAAACTTCATTAGTAAAATAGCAACTAAAATTATTTTATTATCAAAAATTGAAAACTTAATCAAATCAAAACTTCCTTTTGATTTATAGCCACAATTTCCACAACAAATATTTTATTTTATTTTATTTGTTTATTTTTCTTTCAAAGGAAAAGCCATTTCAAGTATTGCTCATGAGAGTTATTCTTGAAATGGCATAAAAACCCAAATAACAATTTCTTTCAATTATGCATGTTCAAAATCCCATTAACAATTCAAATCCTAGATCGCGATGAGAAATTATGCTTGGATTCTAATAGAAAACTTACCAGTTGGTGGTGGAATATTGGGTGGACCAGTTCCAACGGGTTGAGTTTGTAAAGGTGGAGGTCGATTTCCGGCTGGTGCTGTAGCTGTGGAATCAACACTTTGCTCGCCATCGTCACACTCGGAACTTAAATCTCCCGAGCTGAACCTGCACAGATAGAAAATTGGTTTATGAATTCAATTTTCTTTAATTTGCTAATAAAATCATAGATTTTTTACTATTGCTGCTTGTTGAAATGCAAAAAATTGAAAAATACAAAATGTACGATGAGGAAATTAAAAAAGGCAAATTGCATGAAAATTCAGGAATTAAAAAACAGGAAAAAAGGGAAAAAGATGAAAATACAATTATAAATTCTACCAACATTTTTACTGAAAATCGAACTATAATTACGAATGAAAGGTTCATTTATTATGAACAACGTTAACTCGCTATTACAACACAACAAGAGAATTATAAACAATGCAGATATTAATTATCGAACAGAAAATTTTCAAATGAAAAACCAATTGTTTAGCCAATAGAATCAATTAATAATGAGCACTATGCAATTGAAAATAAAGGATATAATTGAATTTTTTGATGTAATTTTGATGGAAATCCATTTACTTGGAAAAATGTCAGAAATAAATTATGTCCAAAAAGACAACATTGAAGAGAATTAAATACAAAATTCAAATTTTCTACACGAATTCAAAATTTTAAAAATATATAAATTGTGCACTTTTATTAATGAATGAATTGATTAAATTGTGATGAATTCAATGAATTCCTAAGCTAATCAGGTCAATACAACTTCAAGATATTCCCTAAGAAAACTTTTAATTAGCCAAGAATCTAGAAAACTTCTTTAAGTTGGAAATTCTTGAATAGTTTTGCAGATATTAAAACTTTTCATAATTGCATAGCTTCTAGATCCTTCAATAACAAATATTCTTATACTTCTTATCGTCAAGTTTATAGACATCTGGATTATTAATTATTAACCTTATTTGTTTTCGTTAATGGAAAACTTTATAAATAGCTTTATTCAGCATAAAGCGATAAAATTAGTATTTTGATCACATACGTCAATTAATTTCTTAGATATATTGATTAATCGGAATTGTTTGGTACATATTAGTAGTAAATTGTAGATTTTAACAATTTTTTGTCATCATGTTATAGAACAGGCAAATCTACAACTTTTGACTTGATATTCCAACTTAAATGCCTTTAAAATTGCGCTAAATTGTTTCTTTACATTTGTTTATTAGGACAACATTAGTTGTTGTATAAAGTGATCTTTAAGTTGAAAATCCAACCCACTCTAATTCCAAAATAGTAATTCGCCTAAATGCAATACGAATCCCAAACGACCCTTTATAAGAAACAAACTCAAAAGCAAGTTTATCTTAGAGCTTAAAACTTTGTTTACCAAAATATATTTTCATATTAATTTCATCATTCATAAAAACTCAATTTCTGATCAAAACATCCCACATAAGCAAACCCACCGCAAACTACAAATCATGTGAATAACTTGATCAAAAATAATTGGCAATTATAAAAGTTTTCCAAACTTTCGCCACAGAAATAGAACATTGAATGTGTTCATGATTCCATTGAGCAATTTCAAGGGTTTTATAGTCTCTTGAGTTTAATTGCTCTATGCAATCATCTCATCTCCTATCAAAATATTTAATTTATCTTTCAACAACTAAGATACAGAGAATTGCAGCCATAAATGGTTGACTGCACTCTATAAAGTATGTGATACAAAATAATTTATCAAACGAAGATGGTTTACATTGCATTTTGGATGACCTCCAATTAGCTATTTGCTGATAATCAATGAATATTCACAAGAGCGCTACAAAGTGAATCTGATTTAATGGCTTGGATGTGTGTGGAAGCTATGTATCTAATATGAAAATATCATTGAAGCGATTGTGTTAATAAAAGTGCACAAAAAAGTTCTAACAAGATAGTAAACATGGATAAAGAAGAAACTATATTTGCTTTGCAAATTTTTTCTTATTTCCAATAATAATATTTTAAATTCAGCAGTTTAAAAATTTATCAATTTACAAAGCAAATGGCCAAGTGTCAAAGAAAAAGGAATCAAACTTATAAAGAAAAATTGTTTCAAAAGCAAACAAAATTTTGTTGCGACTTTTTTTTTGTTGTTTGGAAAAACTTATCTGTTCGTGAGCTTTGTGAGCTGCTCGCTATTAATGTTTTCACAATCGTTATGAAAACACAAGTTTTTATGTTCAATAAATATTAGTATTTTATCAGGTGTACAAAAAAGAAGAAAAAGAAGAGAAAATTAAAAATTAAAAAAATTGTTTAATAATGAAGAAGGATGAAAAGAATACAAGATAGGAAGAGAGTCATTGTAGAAGGAGAAATGAAGAAATTAAAACTGAAACTTTTCCATATTTAGATAGAGAGAATAAATATTTCTGATTTTTCATTCAAATTTTGTATTAATATTTTTTTTTTTTTGATAGAAAAGAAGAACAGAAAATTAAGAAAAAGTTTTTCATGCCCTTTTTCGAGAAAGATAAGTTTCTTACCTCCTTTTCAGGAAATTGACATTAGTAGTGAAACTACTTTTGAAGCTTGCGAAAGACAGGGTGCTGGTTGGTTGTTCCTAAAGTTTTTGGTGAAGAAAATACAAATAGTTTTAATTCAATAATTATTTTGGGATTCATATTTAAGTCCTTGGAAGTTGTTCTTGTGATTTCTGAGTTCATTAGCTTTTAATTAATTATTTTTTTCATTTTTTAACTGTCGTAAAAACTTGACAATTTAAGTTTTGGAGCCAACTTCATGTATGTTGTCATTAGTTGCCTGCCCCTCTCAATTATTCAATACATTCTATCTGAATTCACAACTTAAACAGTAAACTTTACCGAAAGTTACTTTAATTTAATTATTAGACATAATCAATTGCCGTTAAATCAACATTTCAGCGTAGTGATATATTCAGAAATCCAAAAAACATTCTTCCAAAGAATTAAGCTTAATTAAAGAGCTCAAAATTTACAATAAACAATTCAACGCTATCAAAAAATGTTAAACTCGCATAAAATAAATAAAGGTTATAGCAGAAATCGTGAGTACAGGACAGACTGTTCAGTTTTTTGTGTATTTTAACAATTTCTTCTTTTAATTCCAAATAAACCTCAAAAGCTTTTGTTAAAGCATAAAAAATTTCTGTTGTGCTCTGTTTAATGTTCTTGTTTCTCATCTGTTTATTATTGTCTGTATTATAATTTGGCAAAACTTCAACACTAAAAAGGGGGAAGTGTAAAAAGGATGAACAATTTCATCCCAGCGAATCCACTATCTTTTTTATTAGAGCTTTAAACTGACATAAAAAAAAATATTCACACTTTGCAGCTTCAACATGGGAATTAAATGAAGTTCAACGATTTGCTGAAGAAGTAATTACAATGAAAATGAGAGAAAATTCACAGAACTTCTTGTCGTGTTACATAAAACTTTCTTCATCAAAATTTAATGCGATTCGAGGGAAAATAATTCCTTAAATATTTTCATTTTGAGGATGAATATTCCAGCATAAACTACCATTATGTCCAATGATCCAATTTTGTTTTATATGTTTTATGATAATTGTTTAAATTGAAAACAGGGAATTGAAATAAAATGTTTCTTTTTTGTGTTTGTTGAAACTTAAAGGAATTATGAATATTATTCTTTATACAAGCTTATCTTTTAAATAAGATACAGTATATTTAAGAAAACAAATTATGGAAAAACCATTCCGATTCAGAGGCAACCGTTTTTTTCTACCAAGTTCTTGTTTCTCTTAAAATATTCATGAAGGTCAGAGATAAAGTGAGTTTGGAGAAATAGCAAGTGAGTGTTATGAATTAGTCAGACTCTTTAAACTTTCATTTTGAATATGCTGCGGAATTGAACAAAAGTTTTAAAAATCATTATTTCAAATGTTTTGCTTCCCAAAGGTAATAATTCGTTGTTGCTTGTATTCAAAAAGATGTATTCATGGTTTAAATCTCTTGCCATTTACCCTGTTTTTTCGTTATAAGCTACTACTCGTTACTAAGCTACTAGCTTAGTAAAGTTTTATTGAACTTGAAATTATTTTGGAATCTTTACTAAGCTACTACCAAAAATATAGTTTAATTAATCTTTTTCAACTTTCTAAGCATCAGTTTCAATGCCTTATGACATTATCAATGAAATACAGTCGAGAAGATAGCAAAAAAATTTTAATTAAGTTAAAAAATTCAAAATTTTCATTGAAGTTCAATTTCTTTACTAAGCTACTAGTGAGCCAAAAAAATCACTTTTTTATTCTTTTAAGCTACTAGCTTATAACGAAAAAACAGGGTAATTCTGAAGAATCTTGTTTTATACGAGCTTTTTAAAAGCTTCATTTTAATTCATACTTCATTTTCAAGTTAACCTACTCGTGAAACCCTACTAAGAGTATCTTAGCTATTAAGTTTATTTATAAAAATTTGGCAATAGAGGAAAATATTGATAAAAATCCAAAAAAAGTATAAGACTTTAACATACTTCCATGATGAATATCACCTATCTGCTTTTAAATTATCCGAAAATTATCCTTGGTTTTACGATTTCTAGGAACAAAAAGTGTAGTTTTGTTTCAGAAAATGTCAAATTTCTCAAGAATGATAGAAAGGTTTTAAGAGTCAATATCAAAAAATCTTACAAAATTCAAACTCTAAATAAAAAGAGGAAGTCGTGAATAAAATATTAAGAAAAGATACATTTGAAATTATTTTACAAGAGTAGTTTTTAATATTTTAAAATCTACTAATTTAAATTCCACAAATGAACAATTGTGAAGCAATAACTTTCTGTTGTTGAAGTTTCAACATCAAAATTTATAAATCAATATTTAAACTTAATTATTTCGATTCCCCAGAACAATTTAAAAATTGCAGTAACAAATTTTCCAATTAAAATTAATTCCCCACTCCCCCAAAAATGTCATGAAAATATTGCTGTAAAACACAGCACAAAGCATAGCATGTAAAAATCAATTTTAAAATCCTTTTACATGATGTTATTATTCCACTATCTGCTCGAATCGCAAATGGATAATTGAGGCTTAGAAAATGTAATTAACGAGCAACAAAAACAAT